TTTTTTTTTTTTTTTTTTTGAAAGTTTCATCAGTTAAACATCAGTTTGCATATTTTATACACGCATTCTGTGTATTTTTGTTCACTTTCAAATGTTTCATAAATTCATTTAAAATCCTTTTATTTCGAGGCATTCTGGAATCACCAATTTATTCATTTTATCTTTTTACATGAAGAAAAGGAAGAAGAGAAGGAGACGAAAGGAAAAGTTGTAAAAATAAAAAATGATGTAATCAAGGGAAGGATGTTCTTATCCTTGCTCTTACATATTCGTCATTTCAAGAAGAAATAAGTCAATGCCTTTCTACGATTGGAATTTCATGCCGTATCTCTCCACAATCTAATTAATCCACTTTATCGCGATTCAATCAAAACTTCTAACTAAAAATGATTTGCAGCTCATCTGAGCTTTTTATAAATTCCCAACCATTAAAACATTCTAAACTTTGACTAATTAATTTACGTCCTCTTTCATTAATGGTCCCATTTCATTATTTGCCTCTTCGCTTTAATTTTCACGTTTGAAGATATTCGTTTCACTTTATTTCCTTTTCCCTTTTAACATTCCTTTTCATGTTATAGTAAAAGCTTTCAAAAGTTCTTCTCTCTCTTTCGTTTCTCCCTCTTCGATTTAACGCACTTCGCACTTCCATCCACGATATTTGTTTGCCGATAATTGCATCTGTCATTTGAAGTGAGGTCACTGGAAGTACCTGCCGCGTTTTTTTTTTTTGTTTTTTTTTTTTTTCACTCATTCTCGCGGCTCTTTTTCACAAACAGCGTCGTCCCTCCTTTCTTTCGACTATCGTCGCTATTCCTGGTTTGAAAGGACCCCTCGCGTAGCCGCACTTAAGCCAAAGCACATTAGAATATTCTCACCCGGCCTTCAATTTTCCTAGCTGACTTCCCTCCTTCTGTTTCAAATCAACGAAGTTAACAAAGTTAACTCGCACGACCGAAATTAGTTTATCAGAAAATAAGCCTACTGCTGTTGAAAATTTTTAGGATGATTAGAAAATTGTACGTTTCATACTGACTGTAATATTCTTGGAGCGAGTATTGACAGAAATCGCGATAAACGTTGAATTTAGTTTCGAGAGACATTTTTCTTGGATTGCATGATTTAGAAGATTGCAAGTTTCTTAATTTAATTACCTTCTCGTGTCAATCATTGTCCTTAGATAATTTTATTATTACCTTCCCGACAGTTTTACAAAATTTTGTATACTTGATCAACTTCAGGCAAGACACCTAGTAATGATTTTTGTAACCATTAAAGGATGTAGAAGATCGATTGCACGTGAATCGATGTTGAACCTCATGGATCATGTGAGAACTAATTAAATACTACACGTGTCCCTGTAATATGACCGAAGAAATCACGCATGAACGATTTAGAGGTCATCGAACGTTTGTGGTAACACGAGACATCATTGGTCTTGCGATTAACCTCTTTAAATTTTATTAATACAATTTTATTAATACAAGAGAAATTTCAATTTTAAAAGAAGGAAAAAGTCCTCCGACTTTTAATTTTATTTGCAATTTTTGTGTCAGTATATACACATACATGCGTATTATTACATAAATTTAACAATACATATACTACTTGTATCGACTCTGGAAATCTTTCTATCAGTTTAGGGCAATCTTCTTAATCGGTTAGAAATTATTTTTTAATTAATTAACTTTCAACTTTTTCAATTAACTCTATTCTTAGATAATTAGATTTTTAATTTAACTTACTATCTGACAGAAGAATTACGTACTATAAAGAATAAAATCATTGCGCTCGATTTATTAATTTTGTAATCAAAATACCTCTTCACGAAGATTAATATCAACATCAGAATTAGGGTTTTAATATCAATATTAACAGCAATAACTTATGAATTTTAAGTAATGTAACGCTATAAAGAAACATCATTCTTAATTTAAAATACACGCTCGTTTGATAAAGATATTATTGCACGACTTTAATCATCTACATTTGACAACCGTAGAACCGACCTCGCGCCGCCAACGATGGAGCACCGGCTTTCACGAAACTCGGTCCGTGCCTGGACAGGATCAAGCCACTTTTGGGCCCGAGTTTGGAGGACAGAGTTCGCTCGGTACTCGAGGAGTTCGTATGCAAGTCGAGCTCGCGCTACGCGAAACGATTTCCACGAGTGAAGAAATTCCTAAACACGGTGACCACTTGGGCCGGCTGTTTGGACGCCTCTGTCAAGGACACGGATACCAGGCAGGAAATGATTAAGCACGCGATCGAATATCTGGTGAAGGATGGCCTGGTGACACAGTTCGCGGACCCAGTCGTTCTGAATAGAGGACCGAATAAAGTGGATGCCGATTCCTTGGCCGCCGAGCAGAACCAAGCCTTGAAAAGCATGAACGTCTGGAGGTTTATTAACGAGAAGGATTATTGGCTGTGCCAAGATTGCGCGTGAGTATACACACACGTATTGTATTGTTAATAATACGAGAAATGTATGAAATAGTGTTTGAATGGCTTTGAAAGGGACACGGTGCGTGAAACATATTTTTTTGTGATTATTTTTTACGAATCTTTTTATCCACGATGTCTTTTCATTATTAGATAATTAGGTATTAGACAATGTATAAACATATCATACCATAAATTTTAATTCAGTCTATTAATTTTATGTGTAAAATATAAATGTACGATTCACATATTTATGATGACAGATAAAATAATTACGAATTCAGACTTATCTGAATACAATTTTACAGAACTTGCGTAGATGCAGAAACCACTCTACAAATCCACCATCAGTGCGAAAAAGTCACTTCCAATACTGATTTAGACGTCGAAGTCGGTTCATTCTCTCAAGAGTCGTCGACTTTTTACAGCACCTGTAGAACGAATTCTATCTGCAGTCCAGTTTCCAACCGGCGAATCGAAAATCCAATATCTCAAGCAAGGATCAATTGTCGAGATTTTCAACTGATTCTCGAGTCGAATCGAAATGGAAGAAATCCAGAGAAGTGCAAATTCGACAACGCGAACGAAGACAGTTCGAAAGGAGAGACTATCAAAACACTCGACCTGAAGGTAAAATTCAACTGCGGCGCGAAACTCGTACAGACTCAAACCAGTCAAGGAAATTTGAATTTCATTTTCGAAGCAAGTCAAAGCAAGTTAAATCGAACGCCGAATGAAAGCTCTAACGTTGCGAATCGTCCGAAACCTGCTCCAAGGGGAGGATGTTCAAAAGGATCAGACACAAGAGTAAAGCATGGCTGTTCTAAATTTCCTAAAAACTGCAAGATACAAATCTACGTTCACAAAGCAACGAGCACCAGCCGCTCTGACATTCGAAAGCCACCGAATATATCGAATCTTTCGCTACCTTGCAAATCGAGCCAACTGATCGTTCGATTGTTCGAGGCTGACCCATCGCTATCGGACTCCTGTTTAATCCTAATGAGGAAAAGGTTCGAGAAAGACATTAGCAACGCTTGTTCCTGCATGAACGACGTTCTAAGAAAGTTGGACGAGACACTGATCAAACAGCTACGTTTGAACTGCGAGATTCGACCTGGTCGCGTGGACTTGAACCTTTCGTGCAAAACCGGCGAAACTATGAACAAGAAGAGCAAGACTCGATGGTTCCTCGGTCGAGTTCCCACTTGCAGCAACGTTCACAAACGCGGCTCGCGTCACGAGCTCGTCGAAAGCTGCGAGAATTCGAACGCAGATCGACGCGAAGAACCTCGAGGTTCGACGATACTTCTTGCTGATGCTGCAGCGAAACGCAGCGAAATATTCGATGAGCCACGCGTTGCTTCTCCGCGATCTGTTTGCTCGGATCGTGGCTCGATGGAAACGAAGCAGATTTGCAGGAACGAAATTGAGAATGGAAGGGAGGAGAGGAGGAGCGAGGTTGATCTCGCGAGAAAGGGAGAGAAGCAGGTGGATTTCGTGGTTTCTTCGCGTACGATAAACTTGCAGGATGATAAGGACTCCGTGATTCCCATTCAAACTGATATTGAACGATCTGAGAGACGTGATACAAGGGGCGACGATGATGAAATTTGTGAGGGAGAGATTGATCGATCGAGATTGTTAGATAACAGAGGAAAAGAGGAGATGATAATGGGACAATGTAAAGCTGAAGAAACTGTGGATGTAAGTAAAAAGTCTGAGGTATGGAACGATGGATTTATGGTAGGAGATTCTGAGAATAAATTGATAGAATTATACGATCTCAAATGTGACTGTTCTTCGGATAATTTGAAAGCAGATGGCTTTGGGGAATATAATTCGACGACTGAAGGTTGTAATTTAGAGGGATGTTCTCGTCATGCTTCTTGTGATAGAATAATTGAGCATAATCCTTCGCGTATGAAGGATGTGGGTAAGAAGAATTCAAAAGATCGGCCCTGTCACGTGTTTCGTACGAATGACAGAGTGATTGAACATTCTTCGAATTTAGATGATAAAGAGTATTACTCGAGAGTAAATCATTGTCACGTGATTTGTATGAACGATAGAATGGTTGAGCATAATCTTTCGCGAATGAAGAATGTAGATAATAAAAACTCAAAAGTAGACGTACCTACTTGCACGAGTGACAGAGTGATTGAACATTCTTCGAATTTAGATGATAAAGAGTATTACTTGAGAGTAAATCATTGTCACCTGATTTGTATGAACGATAGAATGGTTGAACATAATCTTTCGCGAATGAAGAATGTAGATAATAAAAACTCAAAAGTAGACGTACCTACTTGCACGAGTAATTCTTCGCAGATAACGAATTCAGGCAATGAAGACTGCCCCTGCTGTTCGAAAGGAAATACTTTGAAACAATCTGTTTTGCAAGAATCTACCTCACAGAAGAAGAAATACGATTCCAAGCCAGAAGATCACGTTTCAACGAGTATTTCAGATTTAAGAAGAGGGAAAGAGCTCTTCGAAAAGGAAGAACGTGTTTTTGAATTGAAGCGAAGTATCTTGCAGATGAAGGATATATCTAAGCAAGAAATACACGTTTTCGATATAAAAGAGAGGGAGAAAGATATTTTGAAGGTAGAAGAGAAATACAGCGTCGACTCTATTTGTGCCTTGAATTCAAACTCGGAAGATAGCTACGACATGAAGTGTTCTTGCTGCGGTGAGGATATTGACGGAAGGAATGATATTCAATCGAATAAATCTTTCATTTGTCTCGACGAAAAACTTGCCGGCTCGATTATGGCAGAAAACGCAACAACCTCGCAAACTGTGAAAGATACTTCCAATCTCCGACGTTCGGGATTTATTATCGAATCAAAGGAATCTTCGATTCGCGATCGATTTCCAAATCGATTCACGACGAGTAAGAAAAATTCAATAGATCTGTCGCAGATATGCTCGGCTAGTGGCGAAAGAAGAAATTCAATCGACGATACTCGCGATCGAAATGATTCATTTCAGAACTCCTCTACACGTTCCAACGTTAAAAGTTCTCCAATTACCGAGTCCTTGTTCGTATTCTGCGAAGGATCAAACGCGAAACAGTTCTTCTCCGAAACAACATCGAACTCCTCCACAAACGAAGAAGAAAATTGCCACACGGACAGGCGAGAATCGCATGGAAAGTTCAAATTACCGTGCAGAGGATATGTTCCAGCAGCGTGTCGTCGAAAATCGATATATTCCGTGACGTGTGATCCGGCCTGCACCACGAGGGATCCTCTCTCTCGAATCGGTCGAAACGTCGGGGAAGATCGTCCGAAAGAACAGAAAGGAAAAGACGGTGTACCGATCGTCTCTCGATGTAAAAATCGTCCGTGGCGAGGATCGATGGTTCGTGGCGGTTTTTGCGGCTCCTTCCCAGCCGTCGATCGTATCAAATACCTAATTCGCAAGAAACTGCGAAAATTGCTTCTGGAGGAGCGTGACAAGGGGACCAGCACGTCGAAGACGTTCCTGAGGAACGACAGATACCTTGTCAGCATTTCCAGCGGAAAATTGAACGACAGTCGAATAACTCGCGAGTCCTGTCCCGCCGGTTCCTCGATTCGTTGCCCGTTTACGACGAGAAATCGATACGAAGCCAGAGGATCGCCGGAGAGAACCTTCGACGAAGGCAGTTGTTTCGGCAAAAATAAGAGCATTTTCGGGGATATTGTGAGAGAAAGATGCCAGAGGATGACACGGGGCAACGACATACTTAAGAAGATCAAGATCGGTGACGTTTCGAGGTCCCCGGGGCAGAAACGCGACTCGAAGTCGACCGATACGCAAGATTTGACGATGGGTGATGGAGGAGGAAGGGCCGGGAGAAGTAAACAAAAGGGTAGAAACGAGCAGAGGTTTCTTGCAAATTCCCCTTGGTGTGATAAAAGTAGAAAAAGCCGAAATCGTTCGAGCGTTGTAGCCTTGAACTCGAGGAGGATGGTGTTTTTCGAAGACGATCATCGTGATCACTCGTCGAGACAGAAAGTTCGCGAGAAACACGATTCGAAGGAGAAAGACAGAACTAAGGATCTTTCTACCGAATCAAAGTTGAAGTATTGCTCTAGAAGGGATCAGTACGAACATGGTTTCCCTAGAAGCTCGTACGAGTATAAAAATGGACGAGGATCGAACGCAGAGGACGTGACGTGTTACGACAAATTGAGATCCTTCGAGAAACGATTGTTCAAGCTCGAGAGAATACGCGACGAACAGAATAATTTCGCTGTCCTTCTCAGCGACTATGAGAAACGCGTCAACGAGCTGGATGCTGATTTTAGGCTCAAGTTGTTGCAATACGTGATGCTTTGCAGGAGCGTGAAGAACTCGTTGATGAAGAGGTTACAACCGGATGACGTTTACGAGGTCACTTCGAGCTCCGCGTGAGCAAATCGACTTGGAGCGTTCGACTAGAGATTAATGATTAGTTCGTGGACGATAGAATAACGTTGTTGAACATTCGATCGGAGATAGGACTTTATCTCTGTATTAAGATTCTCCTCGTTGCTACTTTATCGTGCTTAAGAAGAATTATATTGATGTAATATATTGTTTTTTTTTTGGAAATATAAAAAGATACTGCGTTCAATTGTTTCGACTTTTGATGGGTTGCACGTAAGTATGAACTTATCACATGTTGTTATTATTAAATTCACTACTTAAGAAAATTGATTCTTTTTTAGAATTTTTCAAATCGTAGAAAAGCAATATATTTTTACATTTTGTTTACCTTGGACGGATATATCGAGTATTCAAGATCATTTAATATTTGAATCTTTTTTTTTATAATTAAAAAGTGAAGTGACGTGAGTACCTACAGCGGTTTTACTTATTACAAAATTAACTCAGACAGATAGGTCGAGCGATATGAATTTAAATAAAAATTTAATGCAAACGTGGTTCCCGTGAAGTTCCAAGGAAGAAGTGGCAATAAAATATCTGGGTGGGAATCCGTATTGTTGGAATCTTATTACTTGCTACGGATGAAAATGATAGTGAAATCCGAGTTATTTAAGGCGTGCCGGCCCCGAAGAAGAGATAAAGTATTGTAGACTAACCATTGAGAGCAGCAGCATCCATCCCTCTGGCCAGATCGATATTTCCTGGCAACCACCAGAGAGGGTGCCCACCCCAGTTACTCTATGTTTGTAACAATGCAAGTCGACTCCTAACAGCTAGTGAAAGATTTAAGCTGTCGATATCTCTGACCTTTTCTTTTTTTTTTTCTTATCAATTTCAGTCGAGTATCTTCGCGATTTAAAGGAAGAATAAATTAATATGAATTGATATATCAGTAATTTTTTTTAGTAATATGCTGTTAAGATTTTTAACAAGTATTCGATATTGATAGTGTTTGATAAGATTTGATAAAAAGTTCATTTCGTAGATGTTTTTGGGGAAAATTAATATATATTAGATTCTATATTATTGTTAATTTAATTAGGTAACTAATAATTCAGTTTAATTATCATCCGAAGGACTGGAATTATATTTTTCTTCTCTGTAAACTAATTTACGTTGTAGAGTTGGATTTACTTGAATTTAGACTTGAACGTTTTGAAGTTGTGAAATTTTAATTTGTCATATTTTATTTCTGAAAAGAGAAGTTAAATTTTCATAAACAATATATAAACAGTAATAACATTGATTCTATGAATAAATGAATCGTTAGTTGAAAAATTAGTCGAAGATAAAAATAATATAACATTAGTAGCGCGATTCAGTAGAAATGGACAATCACATAACAGACATAGTCGAGAATGAGACAGTTTTCCGCGTACAGTAGAATCAGACAGTTTTACTTCAGTCCATATTTCACAGGTAACCTAAATGCTCGAACAGTACTTGCTGCAAAATTTATGTGGAAAACTTTTGACAAAATTTGTGTCTCAAGTTAAATCATTGCTGTTATTTTTTCATGGTGATATAAATTAACAGTATTTTAATTATAAACAAATTTATATATAAATAGACAAGTTAAATAGACAAGTTTGAGATTTGATGAAAATAAGAATTTTATTTAGAGCATTATTTACAGGTAGTATCACGTTCTAAAAATCTTTACGGTTAGAATTTTGTAATTATGCATATATATTCTTTGTACCGTGAAATTATGTTTTTTTTACATACTTAATAAAAATTAATATCATCGATCACAGCAAAATATTTTGTCGTGATTGTCAACATAGAAACGTCATACTATCACAATCTCGTTTTCTTTCTATCACTTACGATGTATATTTACCACTTGTTCGCATATTTCTTTCAGGTAGAACAAACAAAAGGGAATTTGCGCAAGTCCAATCGTTTAAGTGGATTGTGGAATTTTATTTCAAAAAGTTAAAAAATATTCAAAGTATATTATTTACTGTGATATTTAGTGAATTTCTATAATTCACAAAAATTTATTTAAAAATCCGAAATTTAATGACGAGATTCTTTTTTAATAAATGAAATAGATTTAATTCTTTATAAATGTAAATAATATTCTTCGCAGGACATGTTTCGTTAAAATAAATGGTATTTATATTTTTATAAGAATTTATTATTTTATTATAAGATTTTATTATGTTTTATATAATGATTACGACTTTCAAGAATTCTACAGCAACAATGGAAAGTATTGTTAAGATTAAAAGATTAGAAGACAGTAATATTGTTAAGATAGATTTAAACCTTAGCAGATTTAAACTTCAAAGATCTTCGAAAATTAAGCATCAATTCTTATCAACGATCACTTTCCTCCATGTCGTTTTATATTAATTCTTAACTACAGACCGCTTGTTTGAGACATTTTAAGTTTTTATTTCATTATTATACTCTAATGACGAATTTCAGTTTCTTCAGCAATTGAGCATCTCCAATTTTACATATATATATACACAATATTATTTTATAGTTTTAATTTACAACAGAAGATGATTTATAATTTTTAATAGAAGATATCAAAACCATGGTATTAATAAATGAGATTAATAACAAAATGAAATTCCAAAACTAAGTAATTTAATCCTAAATTATGGCCCGATGAATCCAATCATTTCGATCATTGAGAATCAACTCTCAAATAATATCATCAAAATTTAGAAAAAAATTAAAAGATCCAATGCCTAATGACACAGATTGAGACTTAATAAATAATAAACCAAAAAGTTATCAAACAATGTATCAAGTGATCCAACAGACTACTATGACTGAACTATCATACGAAAGTACTTCAAACACAGAGTGAATACCAATATATACAGTAAATAAGGATTAATCGTATCTCAACTAACTCTTCGCAACACCCTTCCTCGAATCGCCCTTCTAAAAAACCACCCCCGCATATTTACGGGACGGCCGAATTACAGGCATTACGGTTGCATAAATAAACCGGCGGCGGATATCCCGTGAACGAAGATACTCGGACATGAACGTTAATACCGTTACGATTTGTATTGCCTGCGTAACATTTTGTTGTTAAGGAAAAATTGCTGCTCGCGGTACAAAGCCCCGCCTGGGGTCGATCCTAAAGGGGTTTGCGTGCCAGTACCATTGGCCAGTGATATCGATGCGTTGACGTTCATTGGCCAATGGCGTCGCGACGCCGGGTTGCGCGGACGCCATGGCCAGGAGCTGACTTCGCGGTACCCCGCCGCTGCCGTCGACGCTGTCAGCCGACGTCGACGACGTTCTCCGTCGCGTACCCCGCGCGCTACCGCTACCCACTCCGCTCGTAACCATATCTGGACTTAATTATTGGTGAGTGAGTGGTCTATTCGTCGTATTTCTCTTTGCGAAAAGAGAATTTCTACTTTTCTTTTTTTTGTTTCTTCGCGTTTCCTTGCTTTTTCAATATTGATCATTGTGCGGCACGGCTGTAATGTTTGATCGGGTTTCGGGTCATCGAGATGGGGCGGTCTGAGGAGTTCGCGGTACGCTCCATCGCGAGGGTTTTACGGCGAGAGAAATGGAATGTTTGATCGAGCAGTCGACGTGGTGATTTGTTTTTTCCTCCCTTTTTTTCTCTTTTTCTCTGGGAAAAATGTGAGGTGAATGGGTAAGATTTGATGTTCTCTTTCTCGCATGTGTGCTTCGTGAAAAATTGTGCAGTATCTCTGGAAAGGAAATTGATCATATTGTTCTGTCCCTATTTGCGGGCTATGATATTAAAATAAACCGCAAGTTCACAATACTATAACTTCATTCTTCTTTTTACTTTTTACATGTACAATTTTTACAATTTCATTCTTCTCGTTTCTTTTTAATTCTCTCTCTTAGAATTTATTTTAATATTAGAACATCAACACGGACAGTTTTCGTGAAACGGTGGAAGGAAACGAAATTTCATCGGGAAGTTGATGCTGTGATGTATTCTTCGTGAGAAAAGTGAGGTACATTTCTGTCAGAAAAATTGCTAAGATTAGATGTTCGAGGATCCCCTCGTAACGAGAGTTTTTGTGAAACGGTGAAGGAAGATGAGATTCAGTCAAGGAGTCGATGTTATAACGTATTTTCCACGAGAAGAATGGAATATTCCTGTCAGGAAGATGGTAAATTTCATTGTTCGAAGATTTCGTGGCCCTCTCTAACGACAGCTTCTGTGAAACGTTGAAGAAAAATGAAATTCAATCGAGAAATCAACGTCGTGATGTAGTTTTCACTTTCCTCCTAGTGAGAAAAGTAAGATATTTTCGTCAAGAAATTGATAGGATTAAAAAATCTATAAGTTTGAAATATTTCTGTGTCACCGAAAGTGACAATGTTCGTACATGCAATACAATGGATTACTACTGAAATTTATTCTGAGACTGACATAAACGTGTTGCCCAGTGAATTTGGATAATTTGATGCAATTTGTCAGAGCGAGTGATAGTGTACAAATGGACGATTCGAAAGGATCGATTTGAATCGTGATGCCATAGTATCTACGGGAGATTTGTGCAAGGTCGGATCGTGGAAATGTCAGGGATCAGAAAAATATCAGACTTTTTCGTATTGATCTGCGGCGGAATTGCAACGGGCTCTTGGTTTATTTCGTTCGACACCTTCCTTTTTCTTTGAAACTCAATAAAATTACTCTTTGATTTTGTACGTATGTTGATCGTAATAAAATTTCTATTATTATCGAAGAGAAATTTCTAACAAATATTCGGTATAATTAACAATCTGTCACTAAGAATTTTTTTTATGTTTATTAATGTCAGTTCTGATCCATTTTAGACTGAAACGTTTAAACATAAAAAATTCAAACATAAAATTTATGTAGAAACTTCTTTTATTTTTATAGAATATTTAATATTATATGCTATTATATTCTATTTTAATTCATTATATTAACAGTGATGAGGAATGCCGATTGTAATAATCACAACTGTTTTAATCTTGTTAATACCAACGACTAAAAATTTAAAAATTCTCACAAATTAATACTAAAACCATTCATAACTAAGATATAAAACTCGTATCAAAGAAAATTAACCTTTCAACGTGTATAATTTTTTCATAGATTAAATTTTATGACAAAAAAATAACTAACAATAAAGTAAGTGTGATACATCTTTTATAAGATATAAAATGACGTATTTATATTTAACTTGAGTTTTTGAAGATGAATGATTAAAATAAACAATACGATTATGTTCCTGTAGTGATCAAAGTGTAAGGAACAGAAAAAATTCTACGATACGAAAGAAAAACTCAAAGTCTCATTTATCTGTATTCCACGAAAAATCATTTAAATCTCATTTAAATCGTAAATCTAGGAAATTTCTACGAAAAATTACGAATTGGTCGTTTTGACTGCTAGTTCTAGTCTTAACAGTTATTGAGAAAAAAAAAATCGATATTCGAAACCAGTTCCACACGATTGATAAAACACGTCCGAGAAAGTAATTTGGCAGAGTCTGTTGAAAAATCGAGGAACCAGCCCCATAAGAATATGCGAGTCCATTAAATGAAATCGTCTGTTGTTCCACCCCAAGTTGTTAGCACACGTGTTGTACATTTTCTGCCTTTTGTCTGTCACGTGTCGTTTTAATATCCGTCAGCCATTGTCCCGCGATACGTCTCTTTGTGATCGGCTCGATAGTGTGCCAACAATTTTTTTCCTCTGCACATCCGCCAAGATAGAAATCGTCTCTTCGATAGCAGTCTCTCGATCGATCCGTTTCCTAAAAATTTCATTCCATTAGACAGAATCACTTTGCATGATAATCACGACGATAAATACTGATTGCATCCTGTCATTTCTCTATTAACGCGATAACAATGGATTCTTTTTTAACGCATAATGACTCGAGGAATAATTAATTCTCGAGTTTTTATATTTTTTTTAACATTTTATAATTTTAATGGACAATGATATTCCTTTGATTCAGAGAAAGAGAAATGTTAATTGCAATTTCAATCTTGTTGGTACCAAGGGCATAGAATTTAGATTCCTCTCCTAAATATAAACTAATGGTATTATTTGTAATATTCTAAGAAAAAAAAAAAGAAAATCTCATTAACTCTTCGTATATTTTCCAAATCGACTTGTACTATTTCTCTGAATGTTTGTCTTATTCCTCTGGGTATTCACTGCTTGAAACGATAAATACTTTACTCATAATAGTAAGAACGAAGAACCATAAAATTACCAAAAAGTACAGAAGACTTATGTTGGACACAAAATGATTTTTTGTATAACTGGATTTATTTTACTGCATTTTTATAATTTCTTTTCATTCCATCGAAACATCTCAACTTTTATGCATGTAGTTGCATTTCATCAAAACTTTCGATAGCATCGCACGTGTTTGGACGAGGAACTTAAGAGAGAAGATACAAGCCGAGAAGAGCGCGTCTCTTCTCGCATTTTTCTACTCCCCCGAAGACGTTCCCCGGAGAGTTCGAGGATTAGGGTTGGAGAGACTGCCACTCCAAACAAACACCCCTACTACAGAGATCCCCTTGCGCTTCGATATTGAGAGAACGGACGTAGCTCGTATTCTCGGAAGAGAAAATGCAAAGGATGGTTAAACGATTTAAGCGTCCGACTGTTTGAAATCGTTTGAAAACCGATCGGTTGTTCGTGGAAGATGGCAGATTATAGTGGCAATTCAATTAGCCACAAAAATCAGAGAGAACATATTTTTCTGAAATGGTCATTACTAGATCAGTGGACGTTTATGTATTTTTTTTTGAGAAATTTAAGAATATAGAAATTCACAGGGTGAATATAATATTTACAAAATTTGTTTTATCCAGATAGATGAAACAGGTTTCTACTTATAAAAATACAAAAATGCAAAGATCCGCTGACTACTAATTCCTTTAGTTTACTTATTTTTGATATCTGTCATAAATATTAAAATGATGCTCAGCTTCCGTGTATTCATTCTTGACATTTTTATGAAACTTGTCAAATTAGGCAAATGTTATAATTAGACTGTGGGTATTTATACAATTTGAAAAGACAACGAACAAAGGTGTATCATTTTGCACCTTTAAACTTCCCATAAATACATAAAAAATTTAATTGTAATATCATACTTAGAGAACGAATAAAACGTTCAATTTTTTTTTTTTTCTGATAATTCTAGATTACCCTGTTGTAATCAAAATTCAAATGTAATTATTTACAATTTAAATGAAATACATTGTCACAATTGTAAAATTTTATGAAAGGGAAGAGAATAATTTTTAAGTAGAATGTTCATTCGATAAATTCACTGACGACGGGGGAACGTTATGCTGGTGATTTATGATGGTTGATGTGCTTCAGGGGCTGCCAATTGCCAACGCGACCATTTGCAGCCTGAGAGCAACCCCAATAATTGGAAAATGTCCGGATTTGCGGCGGCGGGCCTCGTGGCCTTCGACTCCATCAAGTCCAAAGCATCGCAAAAACTTGCTGGGTAATGTCACGCATGCTCATATACGACATGCGAGAGACAAAAAATCGTTTAAAGGCTATATTTAGATATTACAACTCCTCTATATCTGATCATGCGCGTAATTAGACACATGTATTTTGCGCGATTCTCTGATTATTCCTTGCTATATAATCTCTTTCGTTCTTTTTTTTTTTTTTAAATAAACACTTGAATATCTGTAGCTATGTCACAGAACCTATATGACACAAGTATCCTGTGAAACATTTGTTTCAAATTTTTAATACGTTATACCTTCTTAATAAAATTATCCATAGAAATATATTTCTGTCATTAATAATCAATAAATAGAGACGTTTAATTCAAATTAGAAAAACAAAATGTGTTCGTGAAATGCGTTACTTGTTACTTGTTACTTTAGATTTAGAAGAAGCAATGCCGGCTACGAGGAATTCGAGATGCCCCGCGAGGGTAGCAAAGACAATAAGGGGTTCGAAGATGAGAGAGGGTATAGTAGCCAAGCTTCGTTTGAATCACTCCCGGAACCTGAACGGCCCCCATTGCGCCATATCGATACTTATTGCAAACCAGAATGTCCCTGCTTGTCGAAAAGATACACCATTGCCACGTTGGCCTGTATTGGTAATAAAAATTTTTCAGTATACTTTCTTACCTTATTCTATCATTGTTTTGTGTATCAAGTTTTTCAATACTTTCGAACCAAGTGCCGAAACAGACATATTAGATTATTATTATTATTATTATTATTATAATATATATAATTAATGTTAATAAGACCGTTCCTTTCAGGATTTGTAATCTCATTCGGTATGAGGTGTAACATGGGAATGGCGAAGATGGCCATGAAGAATGCCACCTTTGACAATGCCAATCACACTCTCAGGTTCAACTGGACAGTTGGCACAGAGAGTGCCCTGGACTCGTCGTTTTTCTGGGGTTACCTGGTCACTCAAGTACCAGGAGGATTCCTTGCATCTCTGTATCCTGCGAACAGGATATTTGGCGCGGCAATCGCCATATCTTCGTTTCTGAACTTGTTGGTACCTGGTGCACTGAGCATTCATCCGGTCGTCGATATGTTTGTACAGGTCATGAAAGGGTTGATAGAGGTACGATATTATTCTCGTCGAGGTAATTAAAAATATTAATTAACGTTACATATTTCTAATGTAAATATTATATCAATAACAGTTGGATTATTTTTATGGAATACAATTGTTCACGAATAATTACTTCTCTCGGGGACAGGGTGTCACGTATCCAGCGTGTCACGGTATTTGGAAATATTGGGCACCACCGTTGGAAAGGTCACGTTTGGCGACATTGGCATTTTGCGGTTCTTATGCTGCTATGGTGATAGGAATGCCGCTCTCTGGCCTTTTGACCTCAACTTTTGGCTGGACAGCGTCCTTTTATTTCTACGGTATGTAGTTAAAAGTTGTAACAAAAATCTTGAGAACTAAGATTTTGTAACATAAATTAGTGTAATACAAATTCTATTAACTCAACGTCGATTCTTGATGAAGATTCATCATCCTCAGTGAATGTGTCTTGCAAAATGAATAAAAAACGAATGTAAAATAATCCGAATATATACAGGTATGTGCGGATTGATTTGGTACTGCTTTTGGTTGTGGCTGGCGTTCGAGAAACCATCGAAACATCCCTGTATTTCTGCACGCGAGTTGCGTTACATCGAAGATTCTCTTGGTCAAGGACAAATACAGATGCCCATGCCAACATTCGCGACGACACCGTGGCGAAAATTCTTGAAGTCCATGCCAGTTCATGCTATTATCGTTGCCAATTTCTGCAGATCCTGGAACTTCTACCTACTCGTGCTCTTTCAAGCTCGTTTCATGCACGAGGCATTCGGGATGGCTCTGGTCGAAGTAAGTGCAAACACGATATAAAAAGAATATTAAGTCAATATAGAAATATAGAAATAATAGAAACATATAAGTGAATGTAAAACAAACATTAAATGGACCGTGAATTTTTATAAAAATTTTTATATCCTTGAGAACGTAATTAAGAAAGAAGTCAATAAAAAATTGCGTTACATATTAAATGTTCTATAAAAGCGCTGAGCTTTGGCGTATTATTTGTATTCTGTAATTTCACACTTTTAAAGTTTTCCTGCAGGACTAATAATTGCAGCAAACTATCGTGAATTAATATTTTCATA